ATTACAGTAATATCTCTATTGTAATTAGCCAATAGGTAACAGCAAGACTCTTGTGCAAGACCAAGAACAAGGCTGAGTGCGTAAGACCAAGACTCGTCTTGGTCTCGCATTTGGGCAACACTAATAGTAAGGGAAAGTATTGGAATTTAAAAAAAAATATGAATTTCAGTTTTCTAAGGGAACACACGTCCTACGGACCCCTAAATCAGAAGTACCAAGGTTCGCTAAATTCTGTGTATGCCATAGTGTGTCTGAGTCGGTATCAGTGTCTGTGAGTATGCAAACAGCTTATCTAAAAAACGAAGATATACTGAAATTATGGTCGTGCGAAATTGCAATTGAGTAGTTAATGTAGGGCCAATTTTTGAAACCTGCTTACCAGAAGTGCCACTTTATATAATTTATTTTTCAAAAGTATCTTTAATTTTATTTAATTGAAATAATTAACTATTTGGCCATTCATAATAACAATACACATTAGATAAATATATACTATAGAATAATTCTATAATTAATTAAGCAGCAAACAATGAAAAATATTTTCCAAGATCGAAAACCAAAAAAAAAAGCCAAATATCTTTAAAAAACTAGTCTTGATTTATATATATATATATGTATATATATATATATATATATATATATATATATATATATATATATATATATATATATATATATATATATATATATATATATGACTTATAAACATTTACATAAAACAGAAAAGAAAAAAAAAAAAGAAAATAAAAGCTTCAATAGAAAATATATAAAATTTGCATAGAAACTAAATTAAAACATTTAATATATTTAATATTTAATAGTTGACCGTTGTATTAAAAAGCAAGGAGATGTTCCGAGGTGGCGTCATAAATTAAAATTATTTTGCCACTATTCAGCCTATTTATGACCGCCACCCCGGACCATCTCATCCTTTATTTAATATATTTATTTTCAGCTTGACAGACACATTATAAATAATGCCCAGGATTATTATATATTATAATATTGTTTGTTGGTTTATATTTATAGTTAAATTAATACAATCTTAAAGTTTATTCATTTATTTTAGATTGATTTCTACTCAATATAATAACATAATTATATAAAAGTAGTGCAATGCATGTACCACACCAGATATATATATATATATATATATATATATATATATATATATATATATATATATATATATATATATATATATATACATATATAGATATATATATTTATTAGCCAATGCTATTTATTAATAAAAATGATGTAAAAATCATAACGTCCAATTACAAGTTATGGATTGATGTGACCTAGGGTTCGCTTTCTTTTCTGCCCTGATGCCCCTCAATTGGCGAAACGTTGACTGGTTATTTTATTTTTAACTTCCAGTTTAGAGACACAATACTGCGTGTTTGGAAATTTTCCAATAATAACCTAACATAGATAATCTGTCTCTTGTTTAGTTTGTACTCGTTGCATCAATAAATAGAATTGGTTAATAAAAAAAATGAAATATATTGAAATTCACTAAAAAAATACCTCATGTGCTAGATGTATCACACAACTTTCATTTACCACTCTAGCTTGAGTAAAAATTAATTTTAAATAAATTAATACACTTTGAAATAATATTATTTTAACGATAAATATAAAGTTTATATTATAAACCAACGAAAATTAATATAAAATACAATAATGCTGAACATTATTTATAAAAAGTAAACTACAAATTTAATTAATTGATTTATAAATTATAATTATTTTATATACTATAAAATATTTATATTTTTACAATTCAGCCAACATCATTTGAAACATAAGTAAAATTAAATCGTAAAAATGTGGTAAAATTATTAAAAGTTTATACTCATATAAGAATAAATAAGTGAACTTTAAAAAATTAAGAAATAAAACAGGTTAAATCTACTGTAAAATACACATTAAATAATATTATCTGTAATAAAAATCGTACAGACTTTGTTTTTTCTAATGGTCAGAAAAAGAGTGAGCTATTGAAACAGTTGAATTAAATTACTCTGCAATCCAATAATTAATTGACAGACGGATATGTACTAATTCATATTGTACTTATAATAGAAAATTGTGTAAAATTTTACACATGCATGATATTTTATTTATATTGAAACATAGATCATTTTAGTGAATTTTCGTATAAATTACTATTACCTAAAACACTGAGAGTTTGAAAGTTTGCAAAAATGTAAATTTATCTCTTTAATTGAGATACGATGTTTGCCAAACCCAGTTTAGAAGCATGTCAACGGGATAATATATTCATGAACTATTTTGACGAAATCGACGGTCCATTATGCAGCGGCATGAACACTATTTGCAAACAGATTGGTTCAGAATGAAAGAAAGAAATGAGAAGAGTAGTGGGGAGGGGAGGGAAGCTGAGTGAACACGATTGCAAAGGTGGACATGTTGTAACATGTTGTAAAATTATTAAAAGTTTATACTTATATAAGTATAAATAAGTGAACTTCGAAAAATTAAGAAATAAAACAGGTCAAATCAACCGTAAAATACAAATGAAATTATATTATTTGAAATAAAAATATCTTTTTATTTATTATTTGATTAATATAAGAACAATTAAGTCTGGAAATATTGTTGTTCGAAATATTCAAAATTCCTATTAATTATTTTCTTTAATTGATAAAATGATCCGGGAATATGAAGAATAGGCAATTGAAATAGCGGCTGTCTGGCCACCGTTAGCTCCGCTTATGGCAATAAACCGCTCCGCAGCCTTCTAGTTAGTATGCCTTCATTTAAAGCTCAAAAAAATTTATTACAAATATTTTTTTTTTAAATTTTATTTAAATAGGAATTGAAACTATAAAAAAATGATAACAGAACAACAATATTTGGTGATCAGATGTTTGATAAAAGACAAAAATAAAATAAAATATTTCATAAGATCTATTAGTGGTTAAAAAAAAGAAGAAAATTGGTGTCAAAGTTCTTAAAAAATCTGACCAAAATGCGAAAAATTTAAATCTAGATATCGACTTAATGAATTGACACAGGTTTGTTTATATGGACCTGAACTAACAGGGATTTGATATATTCCAACTTATTTAATTACGAGTTTAATCATAAGTGCTTTATATATTGTTGTTTGTTTAATTAATATATTATCATTTAAGTCCTTCAATCGCATTGCCTACCATTGATGTCTGTGACCTCTTATTAGTTACAGTATTATGGATAACACCCGATGGTTGTTGATGTTGCCTAGCTCAACGACCTTCTTACGAGGCATGGCTTCACCAACAGCCATCACCACGAACCTCTCTTCCAGTTTCAAATACCATATTCCTCGCGTCAACGGCCACACATCATCGCAGACATGGTCTTCCTACTCTACGTCTTCCATGACATTCACGTTGCAAGTAGATCCTTTTGGATCATGTTCGATTCTTGATCTCGTTATATGACAAGTCTATGTCAGCCATGCCAATTTGATTCTTTCAATCACACCAGGCTCTTTGAACAACTCATGTATTTTCTGGTTGTTCCTTTGCCTTTAAACTCCTCCAAGCTAACATAGGCTTCAGGATTCTTTCAAATATTTGGAGGCCCCTTGTCTCAGCTTTATTAGTTGTCCGGTTTTCAGACTCTGACTAGGTTACAGCAGGCATGATCCATTTTTTCAGTTCTACTAATACTTAAGTATCTTTTGTAATCTGTAAGTCTAGATTAGTGAACTCAGAAACCCGTTCAAATTTGTAAGGACTGAATTCATAAATGCCTGGGTTCATATTCAGATACCACATATCTGGTTTTGTTTACATTTATTGTTAGACCTGGAGGATTAGATACAGACTCAAGAGTCAAGGGTACCCTGACACAGCTGATTTTGCGCGCCCAACAATTCGATGTCTTCAGTGTTTGCGATGAATAGAACTGTTCTGTTCAATTGGAGTTTCCGTAAAACATTGTGCCTGTGGTCTGTACGCCTGAATTTTGAAGAACTCTTTTCACCTCATTGTAAATGAAATAAAATATGGTAAACTTTCCAATCTTTTATTTAGACTAAAAACTTTATTTCTTACTTTCCAATCTTTTATTTAGAATAAAAACTTCATTTCTTTCGACTTATGCCAATGTTATTTTAAACAAAATTAGAAAAAGTACTAAAATATAAAACAAAAATCAAAAATGTTTTGCGAAAATTGCACTTCTCCTCGATGTTGAATATTCAGTTTCACTCTTTCCACCTGAGTGAGGAAGCACAAGAAGCTCGAAATAAAGATGAAGTTTTTTAGAAAGAGATATTTAAGGATTGGAAATAACCTTAAAAAATAACTCAAAGTGTTGTTAGACAGATCCATTAGATGATTGTTTTTTCGTATTTTCTACCCATTAAAAGAAAAGTTGCCTACCTAGTTCCATAAATTTTCTTTTCTTTCAATAATCTCAACATATTAATATACCATAAAAAAAAAAATAATAAAAAAAAGAAAAAAGATTTTGGCCATTGACGTTGGACGTAACATAAATACTTTTTTTGGACTAAAATAATGAAAATTGAATTAAAAATAAAATAAACTACTGCAAAGGTTTCAGCTATGTATGGTTTAAATCGATTCGACCTGCAATAAAAGTTGGTTGAAAAAACCATCTCTTCAAGACAGGCTTAAAACGGGTTAAAGTAAACTGGGAGAAAGTCGAGTTTTCGGCTAGATTTTTTCTGGGTCATTTCTCTGACCTCTAATAAATACAGTTTCTATATTTATGAGCTAAGTATCTCGATTTTTTAAAAATGCACAAAATTAATATACAATACTTGGCACCTAACAAGGTTTTTTTTTTTTTTTTAATGTAACAATTAAATATTTTAATTAAATTCATACTGGAAAAAATAATAATAGAGACATAAGAAGGCTGTATTAATCCTTATATCATGGTTTTTAAAATCTATCTATCCATCTACCTCCCACCTATCCAGCAAGAACCTTCAGTGGGTCTTGGCCTCCTCAATAGGCCTCCACCACTCCAGTCTGTCCTCTGCTGCCGCCATCCAGTTCATGATCCCTAGGAGGTTTCTTGCATCCGCTGCCACTCCTTAAGCCCACCCTAACCTTGGTCTTCCAGCTCTTCTGGTCCTATGATGAATCTGTTCAGATACTATCCTCGAGATTTCTCTTCACACATCCTAGCCATGTGACCAGCCCAACTGAACCTCCCAATCTTAATGAATCTGACCACGTCACCCTCCTTGAAGATTTGGTACAGCGGTTCTTCCTAATCCTCCATCCCTCGGCAACTCTCAATGGACCAATAATACGCAGCAACATTTTTCGTTCGCATATTCGCATGGTTTTTGAAATAGATATAAAAAATGTGTAAAAATTAATTTCCGTACAACGCAAAAAACACAATCTATCCCACTAAATATAAAACAAAGGTTATTTAGAAATAGAAATAATTATTTTTTTATTATTTTACACTTTTAAAATAACATATATTTTGTAAATGAGACCCAATTTAGGAGGAGGCATATGTATTTCCTATTAAAATAATTATAAACACGAACTCTGTAAACAATTTGATTAGCCTATCATTTATCAAATAAAATTAACCCTCATCATAAAGTTAAATTAAAGATTAAAAGATGAAATATTAATTTCAAAATATAAAAATATAATTTTATATGAATTTGAAAACAATATAATTTTTACAATAAAAGAAATATTTCTTATAAATTTCCTAATATTATAATTCAAAAGAGTATATTAATTTTAAATCTCGTTTACTTTACTCGAGAACTAATTTAAATCAATTAATTAGAATTAATTTATTAAATTGTCATTCACATCAGACGAGATTTCATACTTTTTTGCGGATTTTCAAGTGAATATATATATGTAAAGGTCTAAGGTATTCTTTTAAATTATTTTGAATTCCATAAATTAGTAAAAAAATATATTATAATACATTAAAAATATTAAATTAACAATTATAGAAAATAAATATAATAAAACGAATAATTTTTTGCAACAGTTCAGTACCAATAATACAATACGAAAATGAATAACATTAAATTAACATGAAATTAATGTAATCATTGAAATAAGTAATTTTTAAATAAAATACGTTTTTTGACCAGTACATATTTTGAGTTTTCCAAATCAAATAAAAATAATTATGAAACAATATTCGGTATTGATAGGTGATAAGTTTAAGTGATAAGTTGTTGATAAATGTTTTATATATTAATAATATCTGTTATAGATGCGTATTCTCGACTTGTGAATGAAAATGTAATAAATTAATTTTAATAAAATGGTTTAAAGAAATTTTCATGTTAAGCGAATAAGATTTTAAAAAATATTTCATAATTACAATAAATAATTGATTTCTCTAATTGTTTTTGGACGAGCCGGAATAGAGTTGAGTTACATGCTACAAATTTCGAAATCATTCAAATTTATAATACAATAATAAATTTCAATTTAATAGAAATTGAGTAAATCAATTATATATTGCATCTTCAGTACAATGAATGAAGTTCATAAAAATCTAGATAATTTTATAAATATAAATACGAATTTAATTTATTTTTCTCGACGGATTTTCTGAAACGGCGTTCTAAAATATGGAAAAATTATTAAGAGCTAGATAGAGTATAGATTAGAATTATTTTTTTTTTAACAGGTTATGATTTTTCTAAAACCATTTTATAGGATTTTCAGAGAAATAATTGCATTAACTTCATGCTATACGACATTAAGGTTAAAAGAAAAAATTACCGATAAAAAAAAATTAAAATTCATTCCTGGTTGTCTGTGAAACGATTATGCTATACATTTTTTTATGATGTACTTTATATCTATACATTTTTCACCTCTGAATCGTGAGTTGATAGTTGACTGTAGTGAAAGATTGAGGTATTATGTTAAATACTAGGCAATATAACAAATACAATTAGTCTTGATTATATAGATTTTTTTAAAATGAGTTGTTCAAATAAGTCAAAAATTGAAGAGGATGGTTGGGGGGTGATCAGTCAAAATAAAAAATAGTGAAAGTAAATTATATTATTTATAAATATAATGGGTGATAAATATTCAGGACGCAGTCTTTTTTAAAAAAAATTTTATTTTTGCCAACGTTTCAACCCAAACATGTGGGTCATCTTCAGGGCTGAAAATGTTTTTTTAAAATTACAATCAGAGATATAATAGTATACGACCGCTAATTATAAATAATAAACTATAGTGATTGATGGCACATGAATCTTAACTAATATTGTAATACACATATTAAAATAGTTATACAAACTAAAAATAAAAAATAATGTATATAATCCATTTATGTAAATTTGTAATATTTTCTCTCAGTAACCGTGGTTTGAGCACTGAGGTTGTTCATGTACTGACACATGTTTGGTAGGTAGGTAAAAAGGTCAGGGGGGGGGGGACAAATATTTCAGACGTGTACAACATTTGAGTTATTTCGTATGGTTACAGAAATGTGACTATTGACTAGTATTAAAATGAACATAAGCAAAAGGTGCCAATTAATATAAATATAGCTTAGTTTGATAGCAAGTATACAAGGGTTAGGTGAATAATTTTTATAATAAAGACAATTTCAATGTATGCAGATGATACTTAGGACAACATATTATACAATATTTATCATAACATAAGTTTGTTTTATATTAAGGATTACATAGGCTATTCATTCATGTGCCATCAATCGCTGTAGTTTATTATTTATAATTAGCGGTCGTATACTATTATATCTCTGATTGTAATTTAAAAAAAAAACATTTTCAGCCCTGAAGATGACTCACATGTTTGGGTTGAAACGTTGGCAAAAATTAATTTTTTTTTTTAAAAAGACTGCGTCCTGAATATTTATCAGCCATGATATGTAGAACAGTCGACTAACTTCCTTCAAGAATTCATAAATATAATTATTTATAAAAGAATAATTTATGAATATAAATATATTATTAATTTATAAATAATAAAATAATATAATATTATTTATAAAATATTATTATTATATTTTATTCATATAATAAAATATTATATAAAATAATATATTCATAATTTATAAATATATGAAATAATTTATAAATATAATTATTTATTTTTACTATTTTTTATTATGACTGATCATCCCCAACCATCCTCTTCAATTTTTCACTTATATGAACAACTAATTTTTTAAAAAATCTGCATAATCAAGACTGATTGTATTTGCTATATTGCCTAGTATTTAGTATAATTACCGCTTCTTCTACCGGCTGTAGGAGCCACAACTTTGTGTTGGCCTTCTTGATCATGAACTCTCTATCGAGAGCAGGAGTAGCTGAAGAAGGCATTCCTTGGAGATAAGCTGAGGCCTGCTCCCGCCACCAACTCTCAACATGGGCTCCTCAAGCTGTTGCTCTGGGATGCCTTCATCTCCCATCTTCACCTACATGGTAGGCCAAGCTAACCTTCCTAGGTTGATGTGTTGGATCAACCTCTCTGTACTTATTTTTCAGTTCTATGTTTGTCTTTCTCCTCCATATTCCATTAGTCCTCAGAAAATTTCTTTCAATACATACTTCATTATTTCTATATGTATCTGGAGTGTTAATATCTGATCGCTAATGTAAAAATACGTGTAAATATCTAATCGCTTGTCGATCGAACCTAGAAAAAGCAACTCTGGTAGTTTCCTATTTATTTCTCGTTCTCATTTAACAGTAAAAGTAATTTTCTTCAAATAACGACTGAACATTCTGTGAGTTAAAAAGTTCAAACTGTAATTAGACATGGGGAAGTAGGGAAGCAAAGCGTCCCCGAAACGTTCAAATAAATAGTTTTTCCTTCATTAAGCTGTCTCCATTACTCCATTAAACAGCGATTTAAACAATTCACGTTCGGGCCAACCGAATCCCACAACTATTCATTAGTTTAAAATTACTTTTTTAAATACGAACCTGTTACCATTATTTCAATCAAATAGTGCCTTATCTTATGCATTTTTTCTTTCAGTATGTCGTAATTAGAAGTATGGGTTTAATTGAAAAATAATAATTATTATTAACTGTAATAATAATTTTAACAATAAATAAAAAGATTTTTGCTTCGTCGGTCATCGATTTCTGACATTAGCTGCCTCCATCCACCCCGTTGTTCTTTCCTAACGTTTCTGATGTCGTTAGGGACACAATCTGTCCATCATAGTCTTGTGCTAGACACTCGATGTCCTCGCTAGAATTCAGTCTCTATCTCTTTAGGGATTATATATAGATGCATCGTTGCGTAGATATATGAGACAAATGATAAAAAATAGTCACGAGTTCACGTCCCGGTTTCAAGGGAGTCTTTTAAATCCCCGCCCAAATCCCCTTGCCGGGGAAACCCCGTATAGCGTCAAAGCAAGGAAGGGGAGGAACCAGAAAAAAAAGATGCATCGTAGCAACATATCCCGCACACCAAATTTGACCCAATTTGATGACCTTTATTTTATTTTATTAGTAAATATACCAAATATTATATATATATATATATATATATATATATATATATATATATATATATATATATATATATATATATATATATATATATATATAATATTTTTTAACAATACCATAAATTTCATCACTAGTGGTCTGTTTAGTTCTATATCTTACGCACACGATCAGATCCATCACCCAAGATCTTACGGTCCATACTTATAGCAATCATGTCGTGTCACATTTTTTTTTTTAATCTACACGGAATTTAATTTATAGAGATAATTATTATTCTTAATTGTAAATCATTGTAATTAATCAGACTGTAAATCCAATAGGATTTAATTCGGAACCCTATTCAAACATATATGAAACTAATAATTACTACTCATAAAATATATGATAGAATATAAAACGTATGATACACAAAGAATTCATATTATTAAAAAACTTCATTACGTTATTCTTTTTCTATCCATAATGATTTTTAATTTTTATTGTCGATGAATATTAAATTAATCAAGATGGACCACTATTGCTGTGGAACCGTGTCGCCATGAATATACGAATATATGTGTTAAGAATATTATTTTAGCCCTCAAGTCAAGTTTGCAAAGTGGCTCTAAGAGAAACAAAAGATTTTGTCCATCGACCCACAGCAGAATAAATATGCATTTCAAATATTCTATGCACCTAGAGAATCAAAATATTTCTAAAAATAAATTATAGGATTAAAATTTAAAAAATAAATTATATATATATATATATATATATATATATATTATATATATATATATATATATATATATATATATATATATATATATATATATATATGATACTTCTACTTATTTTAGAGTATATGATACTTATTTTTAAAAAAAAATATTAGAATTTGATCATTCGAAAAATCTATATTTAAACTTATCATCAAATGTTCAAGCATGGGCTTGAAATTTATCACAACTAGCTCTTCTTTTCAGAAATATTTTTATCATAATATAAAATGAGAGACATATAGATACAAGGTTCTTTCATGTTCTCAGTACTAGTTATAAAAGCTTTTATTTGGATTAGAAAAAACCCAGAGCGATAAATGACTAACGCGACCAATTAATTCCGTTGGAGCTATCTGCTAATGAATGAGTCGGCTAGAGAAAATTAGTAGAAGGAAAATATACTCAGTTATTTTACTATTATTATGACAAATAAAATAAATTTAATGATAAAAAAGGTCGACAAATTCACATCACTTTGAAATTAATCTTGATATTTAGTTAAGCATTAATTTTTAAAAATACCCAAACAAAACATAATATACCTACTAAAATATTAGTGATGAGTACTATCCAAATGGATAATATATTTACTTTACTGATATTTTTTTTAATCTGTTTATAATTATTTCCACATAGAATAAACAATAACTATTTCGAATAATCATAATTATTTTTTCAACATGCCCAACATGTAACTGCAAATTGTTGAAAAGAAATAAAAGAAAAATGGCCCTTATTTGTAATAGGTTACTATAATAATAATAATAATAATAATAATAAAAGGCTTAGCGAACCCGAAGGTTCGATGCCGACACCACCAATCGCTTATTACACACCTCCCTCCACCGTTCGCCGTCCAAACCCAGTCCCTTCAGATCGGCTTTAATGCAATCTTCCCACCTTCGCTTCGGTCTACCCCTCGGACGCTTACCATTCGGCACAGCAAATATTAACCTTTTAGGAATTCTCTCGTTACTAAGCCCAACAACTTTACAAGCCCATTTGATTCGCCGCGATGAAATTACCTCAATTATATTACCCGGATACAGCTCACGCAATTCGGCGTTGTGTAACCGTCTGAACTCTCCGGTTAACTCATCCTTCTTCGGTCCGAATATTCTACGCAATACTTTATTTTCAAAAACCTTAAGACGCTGTTCATCCCTTAGTGTAAGCGGCCAAATTTCGCATCCATAAAGAACTGTAGGCAAGATAATTGTTTTATAGATTCTAGTTTTTAAGTTCCGGGACAAGAGGCGCTAACTAAGTAGTTTTGTCACAGAAAAATAACAAGAATTTCCTGCCTTCAGTCTAACCTTAATCTCTTCTTCAATTTCGTTTTTTCTAGTTATCGTAGAACCTAGATACCTAAATTTATCTACCTGTTCAAACATATACAACATATTTACACATATACAACATATACACATGTTCAAACATATACATACAGTAATAGGTTACTGTAAAATAAAAATAATAGTAGTCATGAATATGAGTAATAAAACACATTACTTAATATATTATGCAATAAAAAGTTTATGTGTCTTACTTTATTGATCATGTTATTACGGTGATTTAGAATTTTAGTAGCGTTTTAGTTAAAAAATGGAGCCCGAGTCTTTGAACGGTTTAACTTTTTTAAGTTTCATACAATTGATATTTAGTTCAATAATTGGTATAAAAGTCGAATAAAATACAACATTAACATAAATACTTTCTTACAAAGTATTTAACCCAAGACCCTTTATGGGTTATAGTGATATTGGTAATATGAAAATCTAAAGATGATTTATATTAATATAATATTTATTTAAAGATTTCAAAACAAAACCCCAAGTCACCCAAGCCCCGATAAATAAGTAAACAGCAAACGTTTGCCAATTGAGGCAGTAGGCCAATCTCCTCTGCAGTTCTTGGGTCATCTCCCTTTTTCATCAATATCTGTTTTTCGGGTAAAGTGTTACCTCAGCGTTGAACTGAAAATAATTAACCTCTGGGTCATGTATCTTTGGTTATAGGATTTATTTTACATCTTATGATAATGTCTGAAAAATAGTTTCAAAAATCTTCTATTATCACTGGTAAACATTAATGTTCCCAAATGCGAGACCGAGACGAGTCTTGGTCCTGCAAACTCAGTCTTGGTCTTGCGCAAGAGTCTCGCAACAGTCTTGCAGTTACTTATTAGCTTATTACTATAAAGATATTACTGTATTTTTTTAGATATAAGAAACCTAACTAAACCCGAATGAAAAATTAGAGCAGTTAAATGCAAAAGTATATTGGTTATACCAATTATTAACATATAGTAACTAAAATTGTAGAGTATTAATGACTATTTTTCCTTAATTTTTATTTAAAAATTTTTTCGATTTTTTTTTACCAGTTCTGGTCTTGGTCTTGTTACAGTTAGGCGGCCTTGGTCTTGGTCTTGCAAAGTGCAAGACCAAGACCGATTTGGACAACACTATTAAACATAATAGATCACGATTATAACAAATAACCTCTAAGATATTAACCAAATATTTAACCTTTTACATGCTGCCCCCAATTCCAGTAGAAATTTAATTTATTTTTCTGTAATATTGGTCTCAATATGGTTCAGTTTAGATGGTATCTAAAAAAAAATCCTTTGCGCTTTTCCTAGTTGTCCCAGAAGTGCAACAATGGCAGGTTCAGATTTTTTTTTACTTTTTTCTTAATAGATTTATGTATTAAGAATATTTAATACAATATTAGTGTTGTTTTTAATAATATTGATAAAAAATATTATTATATTACAGTAAAACATTATAATTGTTTGTAAAATAATATAAAATGCGTATGTAAGAATGCAGAATAAAAAAAAAAATTGTTTACGCTAATATACGATTTACAATCCGCAATATTGGGGAAAACAATCAATAGCCGAAGTGACATAATGTCCACCTGCCTTACGCCAAGGAGGGATGAAAGTCTTTCTGTCCGAGGACCATCTTTCCGCGGTAAAGCTCGCATTACCTAATTATTATAAAATGACGATTAAAAAAAAAAAATAAATAAATAACGCGATACAGTCAAGACAAGAACACAGTAATGACTGCGAAAACTAAC